TGGGTGGGAGATTGGACAGGATGTCTTCTGCATTCATTTTTAAATGCTAAAACATATAATTGTGGAAGAAAGGAGGGAAGAATAAATAAATAAGCAAACACTGGGGATACATAGGTTAAAAGAAGGAAAAGAAAACTACCTTTAAGAAGCTTACCATCTAGACAGACAGATGACCAATTCAGGGTAGTCTGTTCTCAGAGTCAAATGACCATTTGGCATTAAGTGCTGAAGAGTTCTGAGAAGGAAACGATTCAGTGTGTTCCTCCCAAATTTTAAAATGGAACCAATATATTTGATTAACACAGGACTGGAGAGAGTAGGACATAGACTGGGAGAAAGGCTGGGGACAAGTCAGCGTTGTGCTGGCCCTGTTACAGAGCAATGTGGAGGTCCACTTGATGGGAGCAGAGGGTGCTCCGAGAGTTATGGAAGGTGCTGGCAAAATAAGAATTAAGAGCCATCTGATGGAGAGCTTTGAATGTCTGTTTTTCTTGCATTTGTTGGAGTAAATCCTGAAGAATGTATATGAAAATTGAGAGGCTGGATGGAAGAAAAGGTAGTGAGGAAAACCACACCTTGTGATGGTAAACTTAATCTGAAATTTTGTATGCGTTGTCGTATCTAAAGGTCCAAAGTGCTAAGCCCACAGTAAGGAATGTTTAACAATTATTAGACTCCTGTTTTTACTCTCTTATCTCCAGTAGTCACTTGTTGGATATTTCGACTTCATTGAAGGCCTGAGTCATTAGTGCTTCTCACCACACTAGGAGCTATTTGAATTTGCTGATAAATATGTTTGTCATTATTTTACATTCTTATCATGGCTTAGATTTGGCTGATACTTTGACTTTCTAATATTTGCAATAAAGTATCAGCTCTTGGGCTTCCCTGGTGGCGCAGTGGTTGAGAGTCCGCCTGCCGATGCAGGGGACATGGGTTCGTGCCCCGGTCCGGGAGGAGCCCACATGCCGCGGAGCGGCTGGGCCCGTGAGCCATGGCCGCGGAGCCTGTGCTCCGCAGCGGGAGAGGCCACACCAATGAGAGGCCCACATATCGCAAAAAAAAAAAAAAAGTATCAGCTCTTGGGCTTCCCTGGTGGCGCAGTGGTTGAGAGGCCGCCTGCCGATGCAGGGGACAGGGGTTCGTGCCCCGGTCCGGGAGGAGCCCACATGCCGCGGAGCGGCTGGGCCCGTGAGCCATGGCCGCGGAGCCTGTGCTCCGCAGCGGGAGAGGCCACACCAATGAGAGGCCCACATATCGCAAAAAAAAAAAAAAAGTATCAGCTCTTGGGCTTCCCTGGTGGCGCAGTGGTTGAGAGGCCGCCTGCCGATGCAGGGGACAGGGGTTCGTGCCCCGGTCCGGGAGGAGCCCACATGCCGCGGAGCGGCTGGGCCCGTGAGCCATGGCCGCGGAGCCTGTGCTCCGCAGCGGGAGAGGCCACACCAATGAGAGGCCCACATATCGCAAAAAAAAAAAAAAAGTATCAGCTCTTGGGCTTCCCTGGTGGCGCAGTGGTTGAGAGGCCGCCTGCCGATGCAGGGGACAGGGGTTCGTGCCCCGGTCCGGGAGGAGCCCACATGCCGCGGAGCGGCTGGGCCCGTGAGCCATGGCCGCGGAGCCTGTGCTCCGCAGCGGGAGAGGCCACACCAATGAGAGGCCCACATATCGCAAAAAAAAAAAAAAAGTATCAGCTCTTGGGCTTCCCTGGTGGCGCAGTGGTTGAGAGGCCGCCTGCCGATGCAGGGGACAGGGGTTCGTGCCCCGGTCCGGGAGGAGCCCACATGCCGCGGAGCGGCTGGGCCCGTGAGCCATGGCCGCGGAGCCTGTGCTCCGCAGCGGGAGAGGCCACACCAATGAGAGGCCCACATATCGCAAAAAAAAAAAAAAAGTATCAGCTCTTGGGCTTCCCTGGTGGCGCAGTGGTTGAGAGGCCGCCTGCCGATGCAGGGGACAGGGGTTCGTGCCCCGGTCCGGGAGGAGCCCACATGCCGCGGAGCGGCTGGGCCCGTGAGCCATGGCCGCGGAGCCTGTGCTCCGCAGCGGGAGAGGCCACACCAATGAGAGGCCCACATATCGCAAAAAAAAAAAAAAAGTATCAGCTCTTGGGCTTCCCTGGTGGCGCAGTGGTTGAGAGGCCGCCTGCCGATGCAGGGGACAGGGGTTCGTGCCCCGGTCCGGGAGGAGCCCACATGCCGCGGAGCGGCTGGGCCCGTGAGCCATGGCCGCGGAGCCTGTGCTCCGCAGCGGGAGAGGCCACAACAATGAGAGGCCCACATATCGCAAAAAAAAAAAAAAAGTATCAGCTCTTATACCACATTTTTAGAGTGGTATATGTAATATTGTGAATTTGCTTTTTGTGTGTGTGGTTTTTTTTTTTTCTTTTTTTTGCAGTAGGCATTAGTTTCTATTCAATCATTACCCAAAAGAGCATATTAAGTGTATTTACATGTTGTATATTACAAGTTAAACAATTAATCTAAAATTAAATTATAGCCACTATTATCTCATTATTATGTATATTTATCTCACACACACAAAATAAACTACAGAAAGTAAGATTGATGCCCTAAACAGCATGATAATATATGCAAACATGTGGGATGACAGTGGATTGAGATCACGTACGTGGTTGAGAGATCTGTCAAAGATGAGGAGAACAAAAAATTGAGAAGTAACAGGGATGATGATTTAGAAAATAGAGTTGGTTCCATACATAGTTCCAGTTTCTAAATTTCAGGACCAAAGATTTATTGTTCTAGTAGTTCTCACAGTATTGTATCTCTAATATAATTATTTTTAAATATTAAGGCCTTGGAGTTTACAAGAAGTGTTATAGTAAAGCCTATAGAAATAATTATAAAATGTTTTGAAGATTGCATGAAGAGCCATAATCTTAACAGTTTTTTAGGAGTAGAATTACCAAAGGGGCACTGGAACTAAGGGTAGGGGGCGACATAATATAGTGCAGGGTTTTCAAAGTCTGCTCTGTTTGCACCACATGACACTTCAGTGGCTCCAGCAGAATTCCCACATCCCTACCCCTGCTTCAACCAGAGCAACTTGATTTAGTGTGAAATGCAGCATGATTCTTCTGGGTATGGAAGTGCCCTGAAGCAGATCCTATGAACCTACTTCCTCATCTGTTAAAAACCTTCCTTCAGGATTATAATTTTTTTTGTAATTTTTAATGAAAAATGCTTAGAACTTGTCACTATAGTAGATGATCATAAATGGTAACTACAGTAGTATCATGCTTATTACTGTTATTGCTATTATCACAATTACAGGCATATATTAGAACTTAATTTCAGTATCTTTACCCTAGAACACATTGCTCAGTCTCTGTTAATATGGTTACCTGCAAAATCACATATCTGTTCCCTAAATTATTATTAGCCTTCATTCTGCCTTAGCAAATTGAAATATTGGCTGTCTTCTAATCTTTTAAATTGTTTTCAGTAATTTATCCAGCCCATATATTTAGATTTCCTTTTAAGTCAATATAAAATTTGACTTCCTTAAGCACTTGATATTATAATGTTTATTTGACAGTTGAAATATTATGAAATTTGATCTAAAACACCTTTTTTAGCAAATAGGTAAATTACATTCTGCTGTATAACTGATAAACAAAATACAATCAGGCAAAGTTTATAAATATAACATCTGTAGCTTTTTAACTTTAACACTTTGAGTAAACTCCAAGTAATAAGTCTTTCAAGTATTACTGTGGCAGATTAATTGTCCTATTAGCATATCAGTAGTGCATGTGTAGGTAGATGTCAGTGTGTGTGTATCCATACAATACAATACATACAATACATAGCCTGTATTTAGTTGTTTTTTTTGTTTGTTTTTGTTTTTGTCTTTTTGCAGTACGCGGGCCTCTCACTGTTGTGGCCTCTCCCGTTGCGGAGCACAGGCTCCGGACGGACGCGCAGGCTCAGCAGCCATAGCTCACGGGCCCAGCCGCTCCGCGGCATGTGGGATCTTCCCGGACCGGGGCACGAACCCGTGTCCCCTGCATCGGCAGGCGGACTCTCAACCACTGCGCCACCAGGGAAGCCCTGTATTTAGTTTTAAAATAGCCAAAATGATCACCAGAATCAATGGTGTTGTTCTGCAGTGAGTTCTGAATAAATTGCTGCTGCTTGTGAAATCACCTACATCTTTGTTTAAATTTAGAAAGTTTTCTTATATGTTAAATACTTTATAGAAATGTATGAAATTGCTATCTATTGTGATCTTAGATAAACTCTTCTAGGGAAATCATTAAATACTCTCACCTGATCCTCTCCTTTTTACATGATTTTTGGTAATTATCAATATATTATGTAAAATAAAGGGAAAATAAATGAAAGGAAAGAGGAAGTATGTGGGATTAATTAGAAAGTCAGTGTTAGATATGAAAGAAGTATGCAAGAAATAGACATGCATAATTCAAAACTCATTTGTTGTCATGGATTTTATGTTAATGCTTAACATTTAGTATGCATAGCTTATGGGACTAGCTGTTTATAACAGCATTACTTTGGATATTCGTTTCCCCCCCTGCTGCTACAAGAAATTATTGAGCCCTCCCATCGTTCCTAATGACCAAAGTATGCCAGTAGGCATCTGCAGTGTTACCACTGATGACCTGTGTCAAATTATGCCTGTAAGTATAAAGTCGTTTAGCATCTTATCCCGTAATTCTAGATCATCTCTCTTCTACTGCAGTTTCTCTCCTCCTAACACTATTCTTATGTTTAAATATGGTTTCCCTCTACCTTTGTAACCCATCTCCTTTTTTGTCTAATTTTCTCCTTTCTTGTAGAGACACATAACCCGCTTTGCAGCACTTCTAAGTTCCTCTAACATAGTAGAACAGGCTTTGAGTCAGGGGCAGAGATTTGAATCCAGCCTCTGCCACGTATTAGCTCTGTGAATTTGGATAAGTTGTTTATGTTTCTGAGCTCTAATTTCCTTATGTGAACAATGGGATAGTAAAACTTCCATACTGGGAAGATTACATGAGATAATAAAGTACTTAGTACTTGATTGCTTCTGTGGATTCTTATTAACGTGTCGCTATGCAATATCGTTAACAACATCTGCAACACCATCCCTGAATAAAATTAATGAATTTCACAGGCCTGTCTCTGATAACATTCCTCAATTCAGAAATTAGATTTCCAATCATCAAGTTGAATCCAGTGCAAAAATGTAGTAGAAGAATGGATAGTATACACATCATACTGAAAATCCCCTACAGTAATAATGCTTTTTTACAGCTGGGTTTTGGTAGCCATTGGTTAGCAGAGAATTCCCCATAATATTCTTAGTAAGTACCTGGATGTGGATTAAGGGCCTGTTTAAATATCTCTGTGTCTGAACGGTCAAGTGAGTTTGGTGTAGGGTTGGAACCTTCCTATCAAAGTTGAGAAACCTCTCCAGAACCTGTGACTAATTAGAAAACCATTCTTCATGTGATATCAGACACATTTTTGGAAGTTGGTTTGGATTCTTTCAGATTGAGAGCCTAAATCTATATTTTTATAAGACTCAGTAGTTGGAAAAAATTGCAAAAGGTATAGAGCAGACTCTACTTAAGAAACTGAAAGATTTGCCCTATATAGTCTTGTATTTTGGCCACACACTACCTATGAGCCCTGGACGATTCAATTAATTTCCTTATTTGTGTAACAGTGGGAGTTATTGTTATATCTGTACACTGATATATATACTAGTTAGTATATTATATATATGTGTGTATATATATATATATATATATATATATATATATATACACTAACTGCTGAGCTACCTTCTCATTTAGATTTCTGTGATTTTTTTAGTCCCATATATGCAGTTTTTGTCAGATCTTTTACCAATAAATTTCCTAATTTTATTATTGGTTTTTACCAATAAATTGTCTAATTTTATGATTAAAGCTATTTGAATTTGACTCATTTAGATCCATGTTTTTTTAGTTAATTATAATGGATATTTTATGAATGACTATACCAATACGTTGTTTTATATTACGGAGCTGAAGGTGATGCTGAGTTAATTTCATGTTCTTATATTGCCTCTTTAATAGTGAATCAAGATTGTGCATATACTATGAGATCAACTGTAGAAAATACTGAGTCTCTATGCGTGCATGAATAAAGATTGAAAGGAAGCAAGAAAACTGCTGTGTTGGATAGTGGAATGTGGGGATTTTTTTTTTTAATTTAAAAATGGATTATCGATTATTGATGGCATCTATTAAAAATTAACACCTAATTCCCATTTCATATATGGTAAAATATATCGATAAAAAAGTTTTAAGTGCTTTTTTATTCAGTACTTTGTTTGCCATTTGTGTTTGTACACTATGTGTTTTAAGAAGAGTAAACAGGAAAGCAAAGAGAAACCTATAGTGATACATTTCTTAATTTAAACACAGTATCTGTGAATAAGGACAAAAAATACAGAAAGTAAGCAAAATATTCAATGGTGGAGCCTTCAATAAATATAGTGTTAATAGGCCAGTGCTTTTCGATGACCATGTTAATGAAAAAACTCCATTGGTTTTATAGAGACGGATCCATGACTCAAAGCATCAGAACTGTCCGGCAGCAGCAACAAATCTTCCCCACACAGCCTTGTGAAAATTACCCTTGAGGGTTTTAGTTGAGAATGGAGGAGAGGCTAAGTGTAACCTTGAATCAGGAACTGCAGTAGCTCTTTTCTTTTTGCTTAAGTCACTCTCAAATATGCTCTATTAAATAATACCAGGGTATTCAAACAGTGTGTAAAACCAGTAGTCTGTATCTTCACACACTCTTAATTTTACATTTACAAAATTATAAAGATGTTGAACTATATGAGTAATTAATATTTTAGAGATAACGTATTACAGTTAAGAGTCGAAGTACAGATAAACAACAACAACAACAAATCAACAGAAATTGGGTTTTGAAAATACAAAGGCTGAGAATAAAAGGCGCTACAGTCCTGAATAAAGCAGATCTGAGTATATAATTTTACTACCTAATTGACTTTGTATTTTATCATTAAAAATTTAATCTTTGAAAGAAGATGGTAAATACTTTCCATTAGATTCATCTACTAGTCCCTTGAATTGTTTAAAAAACTGCAAATCTCCCAATTATAATTTTCAGCATCCATAATTTTATTAATAATTGAAACAAATGATGAAAATCTTATCGGAACCTATGCCAGCCTAGATTTGTTTAAAATTTTCTTATTTTAATGGAATGGAAATTTTAATATGTAAAGTGTGTAAGATCATTCTAACCATGCTGTTCCTTATATTTTCTACTAATATTTAAAATAAAACTTTTTTTCATAAAATCTGAAATTTTTAAAAATACTGGCTTAGTTTTTTTATTTTTCAGTCTCTATTCAGGGAAATCATGAGTTACAATGTAGGAAAATATTTCCTCCAGTGTTCTCAAGTTGTTCTTGGGAGAGGAGGGCACCGTAACTGAAATGTAAAAACCACTTACAATGTATGAACTGTGTATTTTTATGTTTAAAAGATGAATCCTAAAACATCAACAGAGTTTTTTAAGAATATAAACTGAAAGTGAGAAATACTGCAAATTCATAGCAGTGAATTATGATGGAAACTGTGCTCTTAGCTCACTGAATAAGAATAGACCCCAGAATTATGCCTCTGTGGGTATAATTGGGTATTTTCCTTTATGTGACCTTTTCCAATAAATTTTTCCAAGCCTTTTACCTGGTAGAAATCATTAACCAGCATTTTGTGCCCTGGAAAAAAATATATCAAATATTATCATTATTTCAAAGTCTGAGTTTATCTACTCTATCTCACATGTAACTGAACTGTAGTAGACCTGCTTAACTATTTTGGGTAGTACTATTTGATTTAAAAACACAGATAACAGATTTCTCTTTATAGGAGCTGGCCCATGGATTAAGTGAACTCCTGTCATATGAAGGCAATGTTGAAGAAGATTTCTATTCAACATTTCAGGTATCCTTAAGGGCAAATAGCTTTCTGTTAACCAGGTATTTCATATATGAAAAATACCCTTTGTTACCATACACCCACCATTAGAAAAGACGAACAAGGGCTGATCAGTACATACCACCCCCTATCTTTTTTGTTTGTTTGTTTGTTTTGTTTTGTTTTTTGCCGTATGCGGGCCTCTCACTGTTGTGGCCTCTCCCGTTGCGGAACACAGGCTCCGGACGCGCAGGCCCAGTGGCCATGGCTCACGGGCCCAGCCGCTCCGCGGCATGTGGGATCTTCCCGGACCGGGGCACGAACCCGTGTCCACTGCATCGGCAGGTGGTCTCTCAACCACTGCGCCACCAGGGAAGCCCCACCACCCCCTATGTTAAAGGATCTTAACCTGATAAAGTAGAGATAAAGAGGCAGACACATATAGGTGAGCAGTCAAGGAAAGTGCTTAAAGAACATCAGCAAGGGTGAGGGTACTCTGCCAGGCACCTGGCCTATGCCCTTGACTCAGTTACTTTCTCAGAGCTTTTCAGCTTCTAACAACAAGCCCCTTCTGTCGCTTCAATGCAAGAAGTTAGAAGCAGAAGCTAATCGACCAGACCAAAACTCTCTCGTTTCCACTCCCCTGACAATAATCAGGAGGTGGAAATTACAGTAATCCACATGGCTCCAAAGACCTGAGTGCTTCCCTAAATGCCCGCGCAAATTTTGTTAACATCAGTAAAGCATTTAACTGTGTTCAAGAGGGTTAAGTCCCTACTTTTTTACCCCAAAATGCTTTCACGACTCTATTCTTAATACAAATATCACAAAAGCCTAGCCATTCTGTAGTTTGTATATTTAGAAGAGGGGGGGGGGAAGTTTTCTTTTTAAATTTTACAGACCTGTTCACTGAAGTCTGTTAATATATCAGCCATACCAATAAGTACGCTGTGTTGGAATCTCCCATCAGGTGTTTCAAGAAGAATTCGGAATAATTAAGTCCTATAATTTAAAGCCAGGTGGTGATAAAATTCCAGTTACCAATCAAAATAGGAAAGGTAAGTTAAAACACGATTTATTAATTAAAGTGCATTAGTGTTTGCCACTTACTTTTACTACTTAACAGATATAAAATTGTTTTCCAGAATATGTACAGCTTTATACTGACTTTCTTCTCAACAAATCCATCTATAAGCAGTTTGCTGCATTTTATTATGGATTTCATAGTGTGTGTGCTTCAAATGCCCTAATGGTGAGTTTAAAACTTCATGCTTTCACTTAGGTTTTGTAATACTATGATATTGACAAATAATTCCTTAAATATTTTAGTAGATAGGCTTTTAAAAGTTAAAAAAAAAAAGGTTTCTAGGTTTTTTTTTTGTCTTGAGGAAAATAATAAAGATTTTTTAACATCCTTATTGGAGTATAATTGCTTTACAAAGGTGTGTTAGTTTTTGCTTTATAACAAAGTGAATCAGCTACACATATACATATATCCCCATATCTCCTCCCTCTTGTGTCTCCCTCCCACCCTCCCTATCCCACCCCTCTAGGTGGTCACAAAGCAACAAGCTGATCTCCCTGTGCTATGCGGCTGCTTCCCACTTGCTATCTATTTTACATTTGGTAGTGTATATATGTCCACGCCACTCACCCACTTTGTCCCAGTTTACCCTTCTCCCTCCCCACGTCCTCAAGTCCATTCTCTATGTCTGTGTCTTTATTCCTGCCCTGCCTCTAGGTTCTTCAGAACCATTTTTTTTTCTTTTTTTAGATTCCATATATATGTGTTAGCATACGGTATTTGTTTTTCTCTTTCTGACTTACTTCACTCTGTATGACAGTCTGTAGGTCCATCCACCTCACTACAAATGACTCAATTTCATTTCTTTTTATGGCTGAGTAACATTCCATTGTATATATGTGCCATATCTTCTTTATCCATTCATCTGTCGATGGACACTTACGTTGTTTCCATGTCCTAACTATTGTAAACAGAGCTGCAGTGAACATTGTGGTACATGACTCTTTTTGAATTACGGTTTTCTCAGGGTATATGCCCAGTAGTGGGATTCCTGGGTCATATGGTAGTTCTATTTTTAGTTTTTTAAGGAACCTCCATACTGTTCTCCATAGTGGCTGTATCAATTTACATTCCTACCAACAGTGCAAGAGGGTTCCATTTTCTCCACACCCTCTCCAGCATTTATTGTTTGTAGATTTTTTGATGATGGCCATTCTGACTGGTGTGAGGTGATACCTCACTGTAGTTTTGATTTGCATTTCTCTAATGATTAGTGATGTTCAGCATCCTTTCATGTGTTTGTTGGCAATCTGTATATCTTCTTGGGAGAAATGTCTATTTAGGTCTCCTGCCCATTTTTGGATTGGGTTGTTTGTTTTTTGATATTGAACTGCATGAGCTGCTTGTATTATTTTGGAGATTTTGTCAGTTGCTTCATTTGCAAATATTTTCTCCCATTCTGAGGGGTGTCTTTTGGTCTTGTTTATGGTTTCCTTTGCTGTGCAAAAGCTTTTAAGTTTCATTAGGTCCCAATTGTTTATTTTTGTTTTTATTTCCATTTCTGTTGGAGGTGGCTCAAAAAGGATCTTGCTGTGATTTATGTCACAGAGTGTTCTGTCTGTGTTTTCCTCTAAGAGTTTCATAGTTTCTGGCCTTACGTTTAGGTCTTTAATCCTTTTTTTTTTTTTTTTTTTAATTGTGGTACGCAGGCCTCTCACTGTTGTGCCCTCTCCCGTTGGGGAGCACAGGCTCCAGACGTGCAGGCTCAGGGGCCATGGCTCACGGGGCCAGCCGCTCCACCACATGTGGGATCTTCCCGGACCGGGGCATGAACCCGTGTCCCCTGCATTGGTAGGCGGACTCTCAACCACTGCACCACCAGGGAAGCCCTTTAATCCATTTTGAGTTTATTTTTGTGTGTGGTATTAGGGAGTGTTCTAATTTCATTCTTTTACGTGTAGCTGTCCAGTTTTCCCAGCACGACTTATTGAAGAGGCTGTCCTTTCTCCATGATATATTCTTTCCTCCTTTATCAAAGATAAGGCAACCATATGTGCGTGGGTGTATCTCTGGTCTTTCTATCCTGTTCCATTGATCTGTGTTTCTGTTTTTGTGCCAGTACCATACTGTCTTGATTACTGTAGCTTTGTAGTATAGTCTGAAGTCAGGGAGCCTGATTCCTCCAGCTCCATTTTTCTTTCTCAAGATTACTTTGGCTATTCGGGGTCTTTTGTGTTTCCATACAAACTGTGAAATTCTTTGTTCTAGTTCTGTGAAAAAATGCCATTGGTAGTTTGATAGGGATTCCACTGAATCTGTAGATTGCTTTGGGGAGTATAGTCATTTTCACAATGTTGATTCTTCCAATCCAAGAACATGGAGGAAATCTCTCCATCTCTCCATCTCTCTATCTGTTTGTATCATCTTTAATTTCTTTCATCAATGTCTTACAGTTTTCTGCATACAGGTCTTTTGTGTCCTTAGGTAGGTTTATTCCTAGGTATTTTATTCTTTTTGTTGCAATGGTAAATGGGAGTGTTTCCTTAATCTCTCTTTCAGACTTTTTCATCATTAGTGTATAGGAATGCAAGAGACTTCTGTGCATTAATTTTGTATCCTGCAACTTTACCAAATTCATTGATTAGCTCTAGTAGTTTTCTGGTAGCATCTTTAGGATTCTCTATGTATAGTATCATGTCATCTGCAAACAGTGACAGTTTTACATCTTCTTTTCCGATTTGGGTTCCTTTTATTTCTTTTTCTTCCCTGATTGCTGTGGCTAAAACTTCCAAAACTATGTTGAATAATAGTGGTGAGAGTGGGCAGCCTTGTCTTGTTCCTGATCTTAGTGGAAATGCTTTCAGTTTTTCACCATTGAGAACGATGTTGGCTGTGAGTTTGTCATATATGGCCTTTAGTATGTTGAGGTAAGTTCCCTCTATGCCTACTTTCTGTAGGGTTTTTATCATAAAGAGGTGTCGATTTAAATATGACAAAGGATCTGAATACACATTTTTCCAAGTAAAATACACAAATGTTCAAGGGCATATGAAAAGATTCTGGATATCATTAGTCACCAAGGAGATGGAAATCAAAACCACAGTGAGATTCCACTTGAAAACAACAATTAGGATGGCTAAAATCAAAAAGTGAGGCAATAAGTTTTATCGAGGATACACAGAGAAATTTGATCTCTCATGTGGGGTGGAATGAAGATAAAATGGCAAAGCTGCTCTGGATAAAGGTCTGGGAGATCCTCAAATACTAAACCTAGAATTATCATATGACCCATCAATCCCACCTAGGTACACGCTCAAGAAAATGAAAACACATGTGTGATCAAAACTTATATATGAATTTTATAATAATGTGATTCATAGTAAGCAAAAGGGAGAAACATCCAAATGTCCATTAACAGGTGAATAGATAAACAACATGTTTTATCCAATCAGTAGAATATTATTCTGACATAAAACAAAGGAAATATTCATGCATAGTTGTCTCTTGAAGGAATTATGCTGAGTGAATGAAGTCCTTCAAGAGGCCATGTATAATTCTTTTAATATGAAAGAACAGAATATGGAATTGCAAAGTACAGTAGTGGTTTTCTAGGCTGGGGGATTGGAGGAGGATAAGAAGCTTAGCAATGAAAGCTAAAGGGCAGAGGAGTTTCTTTTTGAAGTAACAAAAATCGTCACAAATTGTGGTGATAATTGTATCTGCAAATATACTGAAACCATTAAAATGTACACTTAATGGATGACTTCTAAAGTATGTGCATTATATCTCCATAAAGCTGTTCAAATAAATCAATGCATGAAGTATTTTGCAATGTAAAAAAAAAAAAAAGAGGTGTTGAATTTTGTTGAAAGCTTTTTCCGCATCTATTGAGATGATCATATGGGTTTTGTCCTTCAGTTTGTTAATACGGTGTATCACATTGATTGATTTGCATATATTGAGGAATCCTTGCATTCCTGGAATAAATACCACTTGATCATGGTGTATGATCCTATCAATGTGCTGTTGGATTCTGTTTGCTAGTATTTTGTTGAGGATTTTTGCATCTATGTTCATCAGTGATATTGGCCTGTAGTTTTCTTTTTTTGTGATATCTTTGTTTGGTTTTGGTATCAGGGTGATGGTGGCCTCGTAGTATGAGTTTGGGAGTGTTCCTCCCTCTGCCATATTTTGGAAGAGTTTGAGAGGGATGAGTGTTAGCTCTTCTCTAAATGTTTGATAGAATTCGCCTGTGAAGCCATCTGGTCCTGGGCTTTTGTTTGTTGGAAGATTTTTAATCACAGTTTCAATTTCAGTGTTTGTGATTGGTCTGTTCATATTTTCTATTTCTTCCTGATTCAGTCTTGGCAGTTTGTGCATTTCTAAGAATTTGTGACTCACGGGCCCAGCCGCTCCGCGGCATGTGGGATCCTCCCGGACCGGGGCACGAACCCATGTCCCCTGCATCGGCAAGCAGACTCTCAACCACTGCGCCGCCAGGGAAGCCCTGGAAGATTTTTAATCACAGTTTCTATTTCAGTGCTTGTGATTGGTCTGTTTATATTTTCTATTTCTTCCTCGTTCAGTCTCGGAAGGTTGTGCTTTTCTAAGAATTTGTCCATTTCTTCCAGGTTGTCCATTTTATTGGCATATAATTGCTTGTAGTAATCTCTCATGATCCTTTGTGTTTCTGCAGTGTCAGTTGTTACTTCTCCTTTTTCATTTCTAATTCTATTGATTTGAGTCTTCTCCCTTTTTTTCTTGATGAATCTGGCTAATGGTTTATCAATTTTGTTTATCTTCTCAAAGAACCAGCTTTTAGTTTTATTGATCTTTGCTATCATTTCCTTCATTTCTTTTTCGTTTATTTCTGATCTGACCTTTATGATTTCTTTCCTCCTGCTAACTTTGGGGATTTTTTGTTCTTCTTTCTCTAATTACTTTGGTATAAGGTTAGGTTGTTTATTTGAGATGTCTCTTGTTTTTTAATGTAGGATTGTATTGATATAAACTTCCCTCTAAGAACTGCTTTTGCTGCATCCCATATGTTTTGGGTCACCGTGTTTTCATTGTCATTTGGTTCTAGGTATTTTTGTATTTCCTCCTTGATTTCTTCAGTGATCTCTTGGTTATTTAGTAGTGTATTGTCTAGCCTCCATGTGTTTGTATTTTTTACAGTTTTTTTCCTGTAATTGACATAGATTGCATTGTGGTCAGAAAAGATACTTGATACGATTTCAATTTTCTTAAATTTACCAAAGCTTGATTTGTGACCCAAGATATGATCTATCCTGGAGAATGTTCCATGAGCACTTGAGAAGAAAGTGTATTCTGTTGTTTTTGGATGGAATGTACTATATCAATTAAGTCCATCTTGTTTAATGTATCATTTAAAGCTTGTGTTTCCTTATTTATTTTCATTTTGGATGATCTGACCATTGTGAAAGTGTGGTGTTAAAGTTCCCTACTATTATTGTGTTACTGTCGATTTCCCTTTTATGGCTGTTAACATTTGCCTTATGTATTGAGGTGCTCCTGTGTTGGGTGCATAAATATTTACAAGTGTTATATCTTCTCCTTGGATTCATCCCTTGATCGTTATGTAGTGTCCTTCTTTGTCTCTTGTAATAGTCTTTATTTTAGTGTCTATTTTGTCTGATATGAAAATTGCTACTCCAGCTTTCATTTGATTTCCATTTGCATGGAATATCTTTTTCCATCCCCTCACTTTCAGTCTGTATGTGTCCCTAGGTGTGAAGTGGGTCTCTTGTAGACAGCATATATACAGGTGTTGTTTTTGTATCCATTCAGCCAGTCTGTGTCTTTTGGTTGGAGCATTTAATCCATTTACATTTAAGGTAATTATCGATATATATGTTCCCATTCCCATTTTCTTATTTGTTTTGGGTTTGTTATTGGAGGTCTTTTCCTTCTCTTGTGTTTCCCACTTAGAGAAGTTCCTTTATCATTTGTTGTTGAGCTGCTTTGGTGATGCTGAATTCTCTTAGCTTTTGCTTGTCTGTAAAGCTTTTAATTTCTCTGTCAAATCTGAATGAGATCCTTGCTGGGTAGAGTAATCTTGGTTGTAGGTTTTTGCCTTTCATCACTTTAAATATGTCCTGCCACTCCCTTCTGGCTTGCAGAGTTTCTGCTGAAAGATCAGCTGTTAACCTTATTGGGATTCCCTTGTATGTTATTTGTTGCTTTTCCCTTGCTTCTTTTAATATTTTTTCTTTGTTTTTAATTTTTGTTCGTTTGATTAATATGTGTCTTGGCATGTTTCTTCTTGGATTTATCCTGTATGGGACTTTTTGCACTTCCTGGATTTGACTGACTATTTCCTTTCCCATGTTAGGGAAGTTTTCAACTATAATTTCTTCAAATAGTTTCTCAGATCCTTTCTTTTTCTCTTCTTCTGGGGCCCCTATAATTCAGATGTTGGTGCATTTAATATTGTCCCAGAGGTCTCTGAGGCTGTCCTCAATTCTTTTCATTCTTTTTTCTTTTTTCTGCTCTGCAGTAGTTATTTCCACTATTTTATCTTCCGGATCACTTATCCATTCTTCTGCCTCAGTTATTCTCCTGTTGCTTCCTTCGAGAGAATTTGTAATTTTGTTTATTGTGTTGTTCATCATTGTTTGTTTGCTTTTTAGTTCTTCTAGGTCTTGTTAAACATTTCTTGTATTTTCTCCATTCTGTTTCCAAGATTTTGGATCATGTTTATCATTACTCTGAATTCTTTTTCAGGTAGACTGCCTATTTCCTCTTCATTTAAACGCTCTTCTGGTGGGTTTTTAACTTTCTCCTTCATCTGCTGTGTATTTCTCTGTCTTCTCATTTTGCTTAACTTCCTGTGTTTGGTGTCTCCTTTTCGCAGCTGCACATTTGTAGTTCCCATTGTTTTTGGTGTCTGCCCCCAGTGGCTGAGGTTGGTTCAGTGAGTTGTGTAGGCTTCCTGGTGGAGGGAACCGGTGCTTGTGTTCTGGTGGATGAGGCTGGATCTTCTTTCTGGTGGGCAGGACCACATCCAGTGGTGTGTTTTGGGGTGTCTGTGACTTTATTATGATTTTAGGCAGCCTCTCTGCTAATGGGTGAGGTTGTGTTCCTGTCTTGCTAGTTGTTTGGCATAGGGTGTCCAGCACTGTAGCTTGCTGGTCGTTGAGTGGAGCTGGGTGTTAGCGTTGAGATAGAGATTTCTGGGAGAGCTTTTGCCATTTGATATTACGTGGAGCCGGGAGGTCTCTGGTGGACCAGTGTCCTGAGCTCAGCTCTCCCACCTCAGAGACTCAGACCTGATACCCGACCAGAGCACCAAGACCCTGTCAGCCGCATGGTTATAGATAGTTAGTTCCACAGGGCTTCCCTGGTGGCGCAGTGGTTGAGAGTCCGCCTGCCAATGCAGGGGACGCGGGTTCGTGCCCCAGTCT